ATTCTATTTACCTTTGTCTTAAGAGTCCTAGTCAGAATTGGGGTTGTTATAGTTACCTAAAACTTAAAAAAAACATGTTACTTTAAATAAAAAATATATATAAAAAACATTTTATTTCAGCTAGTTTAACATAAGGTACTAAAATAAATAAAAATGTAATGAAAAAATAAAAAAATTAAAATGACAATTCAAGTCTTCAGAGTCACATGATCCTTCAGAAATCATTCTAATATGTTGACTTGCTGTTCAAAAAACATTTTATTTTTATTATCAATATTTAAAACACTTGAGTACATTTTTTCAGGATTCTTTGATGAATAGAAAGATCAGCATTCATCTGAAATAAAAAGCTTCTGTAACATTATACACTCTACCATTCAAAAGCTTGGAGTCAATATTTTTTTTGAGGGGGGGATTATATAAATTAATACTTTTATTTAGCAAGAATCCTTTAAATTGATCAAAAGTGATGATAAAGACATTTATAATGTTACAAAAGATTTCTATTTCAGATAAATGTTGTTTTGAAATCACAGGAATAAATTACATTTTAAAACTATATTCAAATAGAAAGTTATTCTAAATAGCAAAAATATTTCAAAATGTTACTGTTTTTGCTGTACTTTGGATCAAATAAATGCAGGCTTGGTGAGCAGAAGAGACTTCTTTAAAAATTTTTGTAAAAATCTTACGGTTCAAAAACGTTTGACAAGTTGAAAAGACTGTTTGTGAAGCTGTTTCTTAACCAAACATGGTAACTGCTCTGTGTGTCAGCGGCAGTGCGAACGCAGATTTGAACGATCCGGTAAGACTTTGTCACAGGTTTAATAGACACGGGAGAATCGTTGTCATTTAGAAATGAGATCGTGTGGTTGTCTGAATCGAGATTGCGATCTTTTAGCGATTAATCGTGCAGCTCTACATGCAATGTTTTAAATAAAGAATTCAATATTTTGTAATTATTGTGTCTGTTTTAATTGAATGCCAGTAGTACCTATGTAGGGTAAAAATAAAATTAATTCTATATAAAAATTATAAAATCTAATGAAATATATTAAAATGAATTAATTACAGTAGTATACTGATTAATTGGATTTACAGTAATTTACTGTAAAAAGTACAGTTTGCTAGTGTAAATAAAATACAGTTTGCTACTGTAAATCTTAATTACAGTAACTTACTGGCAATGAAAAAATAAAAAAATTAAAATGACAATTCAACAAAATTACTAAAAATGTAACTAAAAAAAAAAAAAAAAAAAGAAATATTATAGTTTTTTTATCCAGACACTTAGAAAAATAAAATGACTAGAACGTAGTGTCTAATTGAACAGATACTAGTCACTACTGGTTTCTAAGGTTTTACTGGAATAAGTACTTGGTATGAAAGGTTACAAGTGAAACTGAAAAATACACTAGTCACTGTTTGATTAAAATCAAGTATCTAAAACAAAGGAAAACAAGTTTAGTCATCTTACAAACACAAAGTCACAGGACCACAAACAAACCAAAAACTCAGCCCTTCTACAGATCTGACACTGGTGAAACTAGTGTCATGAATGAATTAGTCATGAATCAGAGACAAAACGCGAGGAATGTAATGGTCGAATAAACCAACCATTCCTCCTCATCACAGCACAGTGTAAACACAGCCATCAAATCGATCAGAAAACATGCAAATTCACTGACCACTCGCCACAATAAACATATCATGTTCTGATTAAAACAGAAAGCTACATTTATGGTTATTTCAGAATTAAAGAGGCATCATTCTTAATCCTGAAGTAAAACCACTGCGAAACTTTTCCTGCTACTGATCTCATACGTGACGCTCCTCTCAGAAGCAGCCGCAACGATAAATGAATACGCCACAAAAACTAAAAAATAGCATTTAAAAGACGTCGTATATCTCTAAACAAAACCAAAAACGTTGTTTAGTAACAAAAACACGTTTCGTAAACTATAAACCACAATGTCAATTAAAAAACACGAGGCCTCGATGACAAAAACTGTAATCTCATAGAGCCTCGCGCAAAGTTTAGCTACAGAAGTTTCTACTCACCATTTTTTAAGAAACATCACATAATTTCAGCTTCAAAACGTTTATTCCTTATCCTATCCTCTCCTCTTTTTTACAGGACAGTTTCTTTTCTTAAGCATCCGTCGGCCCGGTTACAACAAGTGCAGTGCATACAAGCGAACGATCACTCTGCACGCGCACGCGCACGCACACTTCGAGGCATGACGGGAACAGAAATCGGCGCTTGTGTTCACCTGCAGCAATTTGGTTGTGTTTTTGTAATTTAGTAGGTTTTTTTTTTTTGGTCATTTAGTAGTTTTCATTTTAACTATGTCTGTATAGTTGTTATTCCGTTAATTTCAGTCTCTGTTTTAGTTATTTTAGTACAAGCTGATCTAAATTAGATGAGAACTGTTGCCTTGCCAACTAACTGAAGTTATATAATTTTAGTTTAGTTAACGTTTATTTTATTTCAAGTAATGAACTTTTTTTTGTGGTTTTATTTTTATGTATCATAACCCTGGCTCACACCCTCCTGTTGGTTAAACACTCATTGTTACATTGAACTTCAAATCTCAGCTAGACGAAGCGTTTGCAAGATTAGGAGAAAGGGTGAGAAAATATAAATTGAAATAAAGCTAATAAGACTCGAAACAAATATAGATGAAACACAAAAGATAATTGAATATAAGAGACAGTGTTTTTCTGTAGCCTAATCACTCTCACAGTTTTGGCAAATGTAGCCTATTTTGTGGAATATTATCTAGTAGTATAAAGATACTATTATAGAGAGAGAGAACCTGCTAATTCATAATATGATTCTGTAATTTAGCATTAATATTAAGTTACAGCTTTTACAGTCGACCATGTTACAGGTGGCAGCAAAATCTCGAGAAACTGTTTAACTCCCAATAGCTCCACATGATTGTTTTAAAAAAAATGTTTTATTATTACAAAACTTGTAGAAACATACAGAAACAGGGAAGAATAAAATGAATTATATATATAAAATTATAAAATCAAATTAAATCTATATTACAATAAATTAACTACAGTAGTATACTGATTAATTTGATTTTTTATAGTAATTTACTGTAAAACGGTACAGTTTGCTACTGTTAATCAAATACAGTTTGCTACTGTAAATCTTAATTACAGTAACTTACTGGCAACAGTGTTGCCAGTAAGTTACTGTAAAAACCCTTTTAAATGTCTAACAGTGTGGCACTGCACAGCGTCTTGTTTTTAGAGCCATCTTAGACCCGTGTTTGCCTCTCTCGTTATTTACACTACATGCTTGAATCGATTAAAATCTCTGATTTAGCCACACAATGACGTCATAAAGTGGCACATTCCACAACCTGTTGTTTTGGCAGACTGACGTCAATATAAGCTGTTTTTAGACTAAAGAGAAAGGTTTGAGTTCTGAAAGTTACAGGATGTTTTTGTAGTACAATGACCTCTTATATGTCAAAAGATCAAGGGAATTTTGCCACATGATTGTTTTAAAAAAAATGTTTTATTATTACAAAACTTGTAGAAACATACAGAAACAGGGAAGCGAGACATGAATATATTCCAGTTCCACATGATTGTAAATGGAACTTTGCAGTGACGATGACGTCACTATAATGGCATATGGCCTGCATTCTACAGAACCGTATAAATAGAGTGTAATCAATGCTCTGGTCAAATCGCTCACACTCCTCTCGATATGTGTCTGATACGTTTTGCGCAGCTTTTAAATTGCGAAGCTAGCAATGAATATCGTTGCAAGAAAAAGCGCGTCAGTTCCGAGTCTTCACGTGAAGACGTTAATGAACAAGACGTCTTGGCACAATCTTGGCTAATGGGAAGAGTAATATAGTGAGGAATGGGAGAGTGAAGGTCGCCAGATAGACCTGAGAGCGGCTGTTGATATGGCCCTCCACCACGGCGAAAGCTCCTGCGCCTCTTGGGCCGACGACGACTTCTGGATGTCCTGGGACTTGTGGGACGAAGTAATAGTCTGGGATGAAGAGGAGAGGTCAGCGCCAGCCCCAAGAATTCGGGAGCTAGGGAGCCCGATCCGCCATCAGGACAGGCGCAGGTGTCATACTATGGAGAATAGGAGAAAGCAATCCCGTATAAAAAAGATCTGTGCGAACAACACAGGTCTCTGTATACGGGATTGTTTCTAAAAGTAAAAAAAAAAAAAAAGGAGGGATGGGGATGACTGGGGTTAAGAGGAGAGGCCAGCCTATAGTGACCAGATTTCTGAAATCGGGGACGTTTTCTATATCAGTGGTCAAAATATCATGGAACTCTCTGGTATTATAGATTAATTTAAATAAACAAACAAACAAACGGTAAAATACATTAATGCATATTTTTATTTAATTAATTTTCTAGCTTATCAGATGTTATTTTATGTTATTGTGCTTGTGGAAATGGATTTTAACTATCCCTAAATGGGCTTTTTTTGCACTCACATGTGCTTTCGGCAAATGTAATTGTTTTAAGTGCAAGTAGTTAAGTGTGTTTGGGAATTACTGCGTTGTGGCGGCTAACTTTCGGGAACATTTTAAACTGTGTTTGCAAAATCCCACACTCTGTTCAGGCACTGTTATCTATTACATAAATCAGTATTACTTTAATTTAAGATGTAGAGTTAGTATGTCACTACCTTGAATGAATCCGATAACCGTCTCTCTTTATAATTCATGAAAAGTGCTTTGCTCTCAAATATCTCTACACAGTTCCTCCGGTAACCACGTTACTATGTTGGTCAGGCTTTTTGCAGTATATTTGAGGGCTGTTTTGAATGTGCTGTAAAATGGACATTTCCGGGGACAGCTACAGTCTGGGACAGGACATCAAAAACCAGGACTGTCCTGAAAACGGGGAAGTAAGCGACCACTCAGAAGTCTACATATTTTCTCACAAGAAAAACACAACAGAAACCCATCCATTCGCTCTTGTTGAATGCACCTCACTGCTTTATTTACAGCAGTTATTTCCATTGATATCAAGATTTGACATCTGAAGCCGAAGGCATCTAGATACTCCTGTGCATCTTGGAGCTGCTGGCTGATCAGAGGTCCAGGATGATTAGTATGATTTTCAGATTAGAAAAAATAAAGATTCGAGACAAACATGTAAAAACATTTCTACAACTGGCAACAACTCTCAAATGACAACATATCAACTATGTACAAAAACATCAATAATATATTTATATATACTTTTATCATCATCTATACCCTCTAAAATATATCAAAGCAGCAACTATTGGTCAATCTGAGGAACTCTTTTAGTCATAAGTCCTGAAAACAGTTTAAATATCCTTCAGCTGTAAATGTGCGAACACTAGTGGGAAAAAAGAAGAAAAAGAGCACAGGTAGGCAAATAAATAAAAAAAATAGAGTCCAAAAATCTGTTCGTTCTCTGTGTAGTCTGGAATACTGAGTAGCAGGTAGAAAAGCAGTGTCTTGTACAGGCTTCTCCTGTAGACAGTTTGTTCTTGGAAGGATGCTAAACGTCATCCTACAGTTCCCAAGTTCAACAGGTTTGCCACCAAAGCCAAAAGTGTACAGATTCAGACACAGCTCCACGATGTCATGTCATAGGTCACAAACAGAGTAAGGTCACTTTTTTTCCTCTTAATTTCTTCTAGATTCTGTTTTTTTCTGGAGAAAGTCAGGGAAAATCGGTTGGTGGATGAGGGGAGAGTCTGAGGAGATGTAAGGTTAAAAGCAGCCTTCTGGTTGTCTGAGGTTAATTTCACAGTTTGTTCCATTTGACCAGTCCTTGAAACTTGGCAAAAACAAAAAAAAAGACAGAAAGAAGCAGTTGATGTGTATCTTCTTTAAATACAAGAAAAAAAACCTGCACCCTGTATCATCATCATCATACTGAGGCAGTAAAGTAGAAAACAAATGTCCTGAGATTACTTTCTGAAGAGCTTTTGATATAGAGCTTGATGAAAGTGAATCTATAAAATAATGAAAAACAATCTAATATAGCTTGATGGGGTTAATAATATTAAGAAGGGTTAGATCGGGGTAGGGATAAGATGCGTCCGTTTTTCTTGCTGCCATTCATATGTGTATACGGCACGTGCTCCTCATAACTCCCCCGAAGGCCCACGGATGAGCCCTCGTCACCGTCTAGACAGCACTCCCTCTGAGAGTATGAGGAAGGGTCCAATGGGATGTTCTCCATGTTCTCCAGGTCCATATCAAACTCCTCCGTCTCAGGCGGCTTGTTCTCCTCACTGTAGAAGAAGGAGACCTCCTGAAACGAGGGATGCAGATCCTCCCGGAGCATCTCGATGATCTCCTGGAAGGTGGGCCTCATTTTGGGATTGTATTGCCAAGACATCTGCATTAGGCTATGCCTGGAAGATCAGGAAAAATAGATACGAGTTAAAGATTAATGCTGGGTTAAAGCCAGTGCTGGGTAGTAACTGATTATATGTAATCTTGGTTATGTAATCCAATTCCAAAAGTTAAATACTTGTAATTAGATTAGATTACCTAAAATATTCAAAATCAGCCTACAGTTATTTTTTATTGATTACTTAATATTGACAAAACGGCAGTATTTTTTTCATAATTCATTGATTCTCCATAATTATAGTTTTTTTTTAATTTTCCTTTTTAAAAATGCCTATATGTTCAGAAAGTCTTACTGCTTTGTGGAACTGCACACACACACCAACCACTAGTCAGGTGGCTATAATTACACAAAAAATTGAGAGGCCACACAGAATAAACAAATAAACTATTTTGTCTTTTTTTTTAGCAAGTGTTTTATTTTTATTAAATTTTTTTAATTTAATTTTTAATTAATTATTTAATTTAAAAGTAATCTAAAAATAATCAAAAAGTTAAAAAAGGGTCCGATTATATGATCTAAAATGTGTAAAATAACAGATTATGTTACTAACAACAGCTATATTTAGCTATAATATATATGATATAATATATATATTCAAAAATAAAATTTGTTCTCTAAATGACTAATCTACTGTTTAGCGCCCGTGGTATGAAAATGATCGCTACGAGGCGCTGGCGGAGTCCAGTTGCCAGATCCAGTTATTATAAGCGTCTTTGGACTTGTCTTTTCTACTTAATTTAACACTTTAGAAAGTTAATAAAGTGGGAAGTTGCAGTTTAAGGTTAGCGATATCTTTTTTTTTTAACTAATTTCGGTTTATTTTTTAACTATTTTTCGTTTTTTATTAGTTTTCATAGCAATATCTGGCAACACTGCAATGATTGCCAGAACTTATCAAAAGAGCCCACAAACATGTTATTGCTGACAGGATGCCACATTCGGTAAGGCAAACGCAAAACAACAAAACAAAACATGATATTATCCGTCAGAAACGTTATCAACGCTATCAAAACACTACCATATATCACTAGTGCAGATGTCTGTAGAACAAGTAGGTTACGTCTCTATGCTATTTCATTAAGTATTGTAGTTAAATTTTCACAAAGTCATGCCAACAACATTCATTAGAGCACTAGACAAAGTTATCATCTATATAGCAATGGTTATTAATGAAAACTATAACAGTAATAGGCCTATGTGTTGTTGAATGAATAATAAACAAATGATAAAATTATATGCCTATAATATAAAGTAATTATAAGCTAAAGTAATGGTGCAATATGATATAATTTAACAATGCTCATTCCTCCAAAACAGAAAAAACATCTTTCACAAACATCTACATATCTGTCTCTTTTAAAGTGTTTAGTGTATAAAATGAGTTGTATGTGGGGTTATTATAGCACAATTCTTAACCCCACCCTAGACCTCACTCATTTTCAAACCCTGGCTACTGCCATGGCAGCTTTCATATTTATTCAATGAAATCATAGCCTTTTGAAGTTTTATCGTCACATTAAGCCATATTGCGATTCTTGTCTTTCCATCCCCAAATAATTAAGACTTTCTTGTACCATTTAAGACTTTTTATAGCCTTAAAACTAAATTTAAGACTTTTTAAGGACCCACGTAAACCCTGTATATAGCTATAATTTTCAGCTTCTTGCAATACTCTTTTTGTAAAAATTTTAAAACAAAATTATATAGAAAATGTTCTTGAAAAATATAATTCTAGCAAAAATAAAAATGTATTGCTAAAAATAAAAAAGTTATCATTCTTTCATGCGCCAGTGAAAATGTTGGCAGGGCAAGTAGAAATTGTAACTACTGGTCTGACTGTCCAGCAGGAAAAAAAAAAAACACAGGCAATATGTCAGTAATATACTCACAATCTGTCTGCGCAGTTGTCTGGTCTGTCCAGATATCCTCCCTCCATCACAAACTTAAGGACCTGTTCATTGGACAGCCCCTGGTATGGCTGCTCAGCCAGAGTACTGATCTCCCATAAAACCACGCCAAACGACCTGGACAAGCACAGCATGGCTCATGACTGATTAAAACATACGCTAAACATTGTCCTACAACAATAACGCATGTCTTTTTATTGTTGTTTGTGTGCACATGGTCAGCTCACCAGCAGTCTGAGTGAGCTGTGAAAACTCCATCCTTCAGCGACTCAGGGGCCATCCATCTCACAGGAAGCAGGCCCTTCCCACCCTTTCTGTAGTAATCCGTCTCATAAATGTCTCTCGTCATGCCAAAATCTGACAGCAGAGAACACAAGACAAAATAACATCATTAGAAAGCTCTTACAATAATAGATGACACAATACAATATACAAGATATATTACAGCACATCCTGTGCTTCAACACTTGCACCCCCTTTATCATTATGATCTTGTATTCAGCAGCTCATTTTGAACTAGACCAAGACTAGTTCCACCCAGACAGAGAATCATTTATCATAAAAGGACGTAATTATACACTGTGTTTTTTCATTTCACATGAAACCGAAGCATGGGAAGCATCACATATCATCAAAAGTACACATTTTAACAAGGTATTAACACAGGAATCATAATCGTGGGACACAAGGAATCAGTTCAGAGTGTCTGCATTGTGTTGACTGTTTATTGTTGTCATCTTTTAAGAGCTGCTTTACAGCAGAAATGAATTTTGTTTGCATCACTGGAACATTATTTTCCTGTTTAACACTGTAAAGCTGCTTTGACACAATCTGTATTGTATATAAAGTGCTATATAAATAAAGGTGACTTGACTTGATTAAAAAAAATAGTACAAGTTATTAGTTATGGTATTTAATGTTTTTTTCTTTGATTTTTATATTTCTATATATCTTTAGCACATTTTTATTTCAGTTTTAGTCATTTTAGTATTTCAACAAACCTATTTATTTCAGTTAGTTACCAAGGGAACATTTCTAATGATCTAATATTTGATATCTTGTGCTATTATATATCTATATATTTTTCTATTTAGCATTTATTGTTTGGTTTAATCCTCATACAATGTAGTACCTGCTACCATACTGATTTCCGAACCAGTTATGTTAGTACCTTGAATCGTTCAGAGCTTTGCACAGGGAATTTAGAGACTGGACCTCTTAAAACTTACATAAATTTACCGCTATGATTGGTACTGTACCTCCAATTTTTACAGTCAGGCCTTCGGCCACCATGCAGTTCCTGGCAGCAAGATCTCGGTGCACAAACTTCTTGGCGTTAAGGTAAGCCATCCCATCTGCTATCTCAGCGGCCATCTGAATCATCTCTTTCAGCATTGGAGGAGGCCGACCTGGATTATTCTGTCAAACAGCACAGTAAAACAAAAATCCATTATTTAAACGCTACTTTTATTAATCTGAAAGTCTAGCTCCTTATAACTAATCTAAAAGCTGTAGCAGGTCTGACAGTGACTCCTCTGCTATGGTTTGTTACCTCCGAGTCAGGTCTGAGAGAACGCAGGTAACTCTTCAGATCTCCATGTGTCATTAGCTCCATCACCACCAGAGTTGGCTGGCCTTTAGACACCACCCCCAACAGCCTCACCTAACCCACAAAATCATGCCAGTTATCATCAAAAAACATCACAGTCCAACCAGTGCAAGTGCAACTAAAAACTAAAACTATTTTCAGTAATTAAAATAAAGCTGAAAAAATTGTTATATGATAAATTATATAATAAAAGATATTAGATACTGAAAAAAGTGGACATAATAAAATTACAACTGAAATATATATATATATTATATATATTTAAAAAGCACATAAACTTACTAAAACTTAAAATGAAAACTAAAAATATAAAAACTAAAAGCTAATTCAAAATATTAATAAATAGTATATACATAATACTAAAATAACACTGAGTCTAACTACAAAACATGCAGGACAGGAAGCCTGACATGTAGAGACATGTCTTTACCACATGGTGGCAGCTGAATGCCTTCATCAGAGAAGCTTCGTTGAGGAACTCAATCCTCTCTCTGAGGCTGGCCGACTCGTTAACCGTCTTCACCGCGACACAGGTCTGCGGCTCACCTTTAACTATGTCCTTTCCTATGCCCTCATACACCATGCCAAAAGATCCCTGGCCTAACTCTCGCAACAGAGTAATCTTTTCACGAGGCACCTCCCACTCGTCTGGCTCATACACTGCACAAACACAACAGATGTGCATGACATATTTGAGATGGAGCAGATTTCAGACAGCAGAGAAAGTCATTTTAAATGTGATAATCATCCTAAATCGATAACACTGTTAATGTGATCAACTCTGGTTCTATTAAAACAAAATTAAATGTGCATCGACCACAGCATTTTCTGTCAGAGGTCATTAAGCACATGAAGAGGTAAAGGAAAGTTGCTCACCCTCATCTGGGCTGAAATACTCTGGATTTGGAGAGGTATAAAGTCGCCCAGTCGGACCTTCTGTTTGTCTGGTCAGATGAACAAACAAAATTAAATCCATACACCTCATTAAGATCAGTTTTCTGCATTGGTTTTAAGGATATTCACAAGAGAAACACTTACTTTTTCTTGAACATGAAAAAGCCCACACCTCCCATCACGATGAGTAGAAAGACACAGATCACAGGACCCATCACAATCTTCAGCATGTTGGATGGGTCCACACCTGTTCACATACACACAATAGAAAAAAAATGAAAAAGTGTGCATATCCAAACAAAGTCTGGTAACAGTTGCAGGACACAATGGAGCAAATAATAATAAACAAAAGTAAATAAAAATAGTAAGTATCCATACACTGATAATAATTCACCAATATGTTATAGAAAGCCTAAAAATGCCAAGGAATTAAAAAATAATATATAATAAATAAATAATTAAAACACAAATGACCAATAAACAACAACAACAACACAACAAAACCAATTTACGGTTTTAAAAAATATATAATCCATGGCATCTTAGGGCTTCCAAATTAAAACGCAACATTTTGACATTTTTTTTCCCCCTAATAAAAACCTAGAGGTTGAAACTTTGCACCATTACATCAGTGTGTGATTTAATTATGTGGGTCTTGTGCATAATTTCAAAACTGAAAATGTGATATTCATAAGCATTATAGACAAGCTGTGTGTGTGTGTGTGTGTGTGTGCGTGTAATAGCGTCTTACGTAGGTCTTGCACATAGAAGTGTGTTGGCTCTGTCCATGATCCATTGCCTGCCAGAGAGGTGGCTCTGATCCGCACTGTATAGTTCCCTGGATGCACCACTCTCAGCTTGCAGCCTCCGTCTGCAATATAATTCTTCCTGGATACGCAATGGTGCAGCTCCTAAGACATAAAGGCATGCAGTTAGACAACCCATACAGCTGAAGACGTCCATTAGCCAGTGGCAAAGTATTGGCTTTTATCATGTTTTTAAAGTCCACCTCACACTAATACATCCAAATATCACTCATCAGACTTTAATGAAACTGACAGATGTCAGCGTAAACAGTTACAAGAGAGTGTTTCAAATCAATCAACGTAAACAGGTGCATGTGCCACTAAGTGCAAAACCATCATGTTTTGTTTCACTTACAACAATTATTAGCCTTTATATAATCAACCCTTGTTTATCCAAAGCTTTTCAAAAACAACATTAGGAACATTTCCACTGTCTCTGGCTGAATTTCTCCATGGTTACAGAAATACACAGCTGACGCAATGATGCTAAAATAGCTTGCTGATTTGGAGCTAGCACATGTTGATTTCGACAGGATTGATAAAAATCAGATTAAAAGTGCAGCCAGCATTCATGGGAGCAGAGCCTGGAAAGAATGCAGGCTTCGATCTCCGTCTCATGTAACATCTCACCTCTGTATCTCCCAGTCTCTTATAATGGACTTCATAGAGAATAATCATGCCGTTAGGGGCCTTAGGCTCCATCCACCTGATGTGTACGGAGTACTCAGACACCTCACAGGTTATCGGTCCCACAATGTCATCTGCTTTTTCTATAAGAAACAAAGTAAAGGTTACAAGTTAAAGTTATTAATAATAGCTACACTATATAAAATAATAATGCGTCATAAAATAACAATCCCATACCTTCAGGCATGGTGCGGGCGCTGACGTAGGCCGCCATACTGCAGCGAGAGGGGTCAGTCTCATGGTTGCAGGCATGGATTTCTATCTGGTAGCTGGTGAAATGGCGCAGATTAGAGATGACCGTCGACTCCTTGGCCTGAACAATCAGGGAAATCTTATTGGCCTCTGCTTCCTCCTCTGGGCTACGAGTGGCAGAGCCATTGGGCAGTGAAGAAGGTGTAGTGAAAAGATGAGAAGAGGTCCTGTTGGCAATGCCCACCAGAGATCTGCGCTGTCGTGATGTCCTAGAGACACAGAAACACGCAAAGAGGCACTTAGTATAGACTTAGGTTCCTATACAGGTTGTATTTTAAGATGGTTTGTATCTTGCATTAGTACATGTGAATGACTGGAGTGCTTTTTGGTGTGATCAGACCTTTATAATACATCCAAATGGTTGTGGATGTTAAAAAAGTGTGCATATGTTGTGATACCAGCTGATGAGAGTCATGTAATAATGCATGTAATTTATGCAGCCTCACTCAAAGATCAAACAATCTGATTGACTGCGGCAAAGCAAACATTTAAATGGCAGTTCTATATGTTGTAGCACTTATTTAGTCCATTGATCAAATGGTCACCTGCGCTAAACAGATGTTCATGTCACAAGCTTCAACTCTTCAAAGCAACATGGGAAAAATCAAAAGGAATATGACATATGCCTCATGACGTGTTCTTTCTTCGGCTCTGTGACTAACGTAGCTTCACTCCAGCTCCTCAGAAGGAAAAGGGCTTCCATTATCACTTCATCGTTGAATACAGACCACAAACTACTGTATAATTACATAAAAGCGTGGCAAATTACGGTTTAGGAAATATATGGAGCCTTAAAGTGACTATTCATTCAACAACTTCGAACAAATTCAAACATTAGCAACTTCGCTTGAGTGCAGTTTTCCTTCTGTTGACATTTCCTGTTGAAGCAGGTTGTTTGTGAAAACATTCACATTCTAAAGGGAATTCGACTGGACAAAAATCTGTGTTGCGCAAGAAGACATATCAATACACATTACCATTCAGACGTTTGGGGTCAGGAAGAATTTTTTTAATTATTATTATTATTTTTCTTTTAATTATACATAAATTCAGCAAGGACACAGTAAACTGATCAAAATGACAGCAAAAACATTTATAATGTTACAAAAAGTTTTCTATTTCCAATAAATGCTATTATTATGAATTACATATTTCTCAAAGAGTCCATGGCTCCTTGTAAAAAATTTAAGAAGCACTAAGAACTATTTTCAACATTGACAATAATAAGAAATGTTTTTGAGCACCAAATCAGTACAGTAGAATGATTCGGAAGGAAAATTTAACTGGAACTGAAAATTCAGCTTTGCGGTCACAGGAATAAATACCATTTTGAAAACAGAAAATAGTTATTTTAAATTGTAATACTTTAACACAGTATTACTTTTTGATCAAAATTTAATGTAGGCTTGGTGTGCAAAAGAGACTTCTTTCAAAAACACTATTAAATATTACTGACCCCAGACTGAACGTTGATGTATTTGACCCATTATACCAGAAGACAAAGTCTAAATGTGTATATTTGCTAAAGGTTATTTTGGTCATCTTTTAAAGGGGTAATATGATGTGATTTAAATTTTTCTTTTCTCTTTGGAGTGTTACAAGCTCTTGGTGCATAAAGAAGATCTGTAAAGTTGCAAAGACTAAAGTCTCAAATCCAAAAATATATTCTTTATAAAAGTAAAGAGTCAACCACGCCTACCTTAAACGGCTCGTTCTAACACGCCCCCACATGTCTACGTCACGATGTGGGAAGATTAGCATAACGCCGCCCAAATGTTCACGCAAAGAAAGAAGGCGCAACTTTTATTCTCTCTGTAGTATTGTTGTTGCCGCCGCTGCCATGTCATGAAGGCGCTGTGTGTTTTGTTGTGAAAGTGAAACTACTTTGTTTGGCCTTCCAAAAGAGGACGATATCCGCTTCGTCATGCCTAGAGCTGATCCGTGCTGGTCGTTGAGGAAATACATCAACTTCGCGCTGTGGATCGCCGGATTGGCTTTCACCGTGGAGGAAGCGGAGTCCAGCCTGGGGTCGTCACATGTGGTTGCCGGAAGCCCGCCCGCCACCACTCACTCAAGCCCACTGTGTGTGATGCTGTGTTTTGTTGTGAAAGCGAAACTACTTTGTTTGGCCTTCCAAAAGAGGACACGACTAGAAATCAGTGGTTAAGTTGTATTTACAACACTGTCCCAGAACAGTTCAACCCAAATATTCCGATGTGTCCAGCGCATTTTATGGAGGACCGTTTCCTGATCCTGGTAGAGTAGACTACAATGCCGGCTGTTCTGACTCACAGACTGCAAGTACGTTTTTTTATATTTAAAGAATTTGCCACTGACGATTCAAATGTGAGTTTTGAGCAGTGTAGAGTAGCGTTTGTAGTTTGTAATTACTCCGATCACAAATGTAGATGTGGTTTTATGTTTACGCAGCGCGATGCAATGCAATGCGTAAAAAGACAGTATAAGTCATTATAATCTGTAATTATGTCCCCACTGGATGCAACAAATGCCTCGTTTATAATGGGTTTTCATGTTTTTGTCTTGCCGCTCTGGCCGGGACAAGGCATCACAATATGGCAAGGGGCGTAACATTTCCGTCACACACTTGAGGTATTCGGCCAATCACAACGCACTGGATAGCTGGCCAATCAGAGCACACCTCGCTTTTCAGACCGATGAGCTTTGTAAAAATCGACGCGTTTCAGAAAGTGGGGCATAGAGGAGAAACAATAATGTGGAATGTATGTGGAAGTATGTGATATGTGGAAAATAACATGTTTTTTTAAACCGCATAAACACATTTCATTACACCAAATACACAAAATAATGTTATTTTTAGCAACATCATATGACCCCTTTAAGGAGTACAACACTACCAAACATTAATTACAAGCCACAAAATTCCAGTTCATTGTGTTCATTACTCACATCACCACTAGAGGGAGCAGAGGAGCATTTCATGTGGTTGGTTTTAACTATTCCAGTGGTAAACCACTACCAGAGCACCACAGCCTTCAGTTATTTCCTCAAATATAAGCGCTCAGGACAGGAGGACTCAGCGCTTTTGGTGTGCTTTAAGAACAAAGCATTTCCGAGGATAAAATCATTTTTAAGTAAAACCATATATTAACATCTAAATAAAATCAACTGAATACTTTTTATAGTCCATAAAATCACTGTGAGTAAAATGTGCAGACCAGCTGCAAGACAACTATAATATTTAGGGTATCGAGACACACAGTCTGTGTAGGAGTCTGCACTTCCTCTGAATGCGTCGTGGTAGTCGTTGTCAACATTGTCTATCACTACCACAAAGCAGACAACATCTTCCCCCCCAAAAAAAGATTACACTAAACTAAAGCCTGTACAAGGTTTGAGAGAACATTTGTGTGTACGTGGGAGTGTGCATGTGTGTGTAGGAGTGGAACAGGACATTTAAAGCCAGCTGTGAGCTTCTGAAGGCCAAAGATACACAAAGACAGTGGAAACGAACACAAACACATACTCAAGGTCTTGGTGGAGTCAAAAACAACCCAGAGTGACCACTGCTAAGACATTCAACCCTGAGCTTAGAACTCTGAAGAAAATAGATGAACACCATGAACCACTTGAGAATCTCCACTTAGAGGGTCACATCAGGTGAAGAATCTGACAGCTGCATCTCAAGAGTCTCCGAATGTTTCTGAACCCTTTTCACTAGGACGAACTAAGAGCTACTTTGATAATTGATCAATTTGTTGATAAATCCTGCACAATGTTCTCCTTGAAACAATATGAAAACTGACTATATGCAAAAAATTACCTAATGTATGATATATATTGACTATATATGCAAAAAGTCTATATAATGTATGCTATATATTGCCTATAAATGAAAAAGTGTTATGTATGCTATAAATTGTCTACATATGAAAAATGTTTATATAATATGCAATATACTGTTTATAGATGAATGAGTCTACAGAATATCTATGCTATATATTGCTTTTATATGAAAAAGTATATATAATGTGCAGCATGCTATATAGTCTTTATATTACAGTGTATATGAATGTATGTGATATTTATATATGAAAAAATGTATATAAATGTATGCAATATATTGCCTATATATGGAAAAAAAAAAAAACTATAAAATGTGTTATATATTGCCCTTAAAATAAAGTTTCTATTATGCATGCCATATATTGCCTATCTAAAAAGCCTATGTAATATATGAAAGATATTGTCTATATATGAAAAAGTTAAGAATAATGTGTGCCATATATTGTTTATACATGAAAAAGTCCCTATAATATATGCTATATATTGAGTGCAAAAATAGTAAAATCTTTTTTTTTTTTATAGAAAACCATTTTTTACTACTCTGTGTCACTGTGGGAGGTTCTAATTGATCATTTGCAAATCAATTATTTTCATTAATGATTACATTGATTAATTTTTGTTCTAATCTACACTAGATAAACGAGGAAGCAGAAAGTTTACCTGAGCTCAAACACTTCATTATGGAGGTAGTTCTCGAAGGTTTTGCGGTACTCTGTCTCCTCCGCCTCTTTCTTCAGCTGTTTCTCCGTTTTGGGGCAAGCACAGCAGCGGCTATCTTGGCCCTGCTCTTCGGTTTGGTTCCACTTCTGTTCCTCTTCACTGTCCACTTGTGTGGGGGCTCTGGTGGGCAGCTTCATACCTGAACAACAGAAACACAAGGCTCAGACTTTGTTCTGGCATAATTACAAATAATAGTCCAAGTCTTACCAACCCTATACTTTTGAACGCTAATGTGTTTGTTCTATGTTATATTGTTGTATGTTTTCTAACCTTTCTGACAGTAATCAAACTTATAGAGCTCGCTGGCCTCTGGTTGCTGCTGGCAGAAGACCAGGTAGTGTGTGATGTTTCCATTTGGATCGTTAGGGGGCTTCCACTTCAGAATGATCTGAGATGAGGAGTTCGATGAGGATATGGGGTCCAGGGGCACAGAGGGTTCTAAAAAACAAAAGGCACACATAGGTATATGGAAAAACCATGAATGATTTTAAATGAAAACAAAGCCAAAAAAGTAGACTAGTAGAACAGTAGATTAAACTCAATTCTGGCTAGACCACATTGTCAGACTGGGTCACCAATGAGACAAGAAGAATAATGACAGTTTCCAGCTAAAAAGGAAGAAGTGGAGGGGGCACCATCGATATCACAGCATGCGAACCCAACCGTTTACCAAACCAGAAGAAAAAAGAAAAAAAAGAAAGAAAGAAAAGAGAAGCACTACTTTCAGCCTTTGCCAACCAGCTGCCGAAACAATGTTCTCAGCTTAGTGAAGGGTTATGTGGTTTATCAGGAAGAAAAGACAAAACAAGCTCAAAAGGAAGCCAGACAGACACCTGGCAGCACTGAAACCAAACCACATTAGTTTTTTCTCCTAAATCACGGCCTGTCATGCTGCACACTGCTGAGTGATTTCACACTGCTGAAAGTCATCAGCAACCTATTTTACCAGCCTTTGACCTCTTTTATTGCTCTCTCATTCCAAGCCTACACGATAAACACTGCAACTGGAATCAGAAAACAACTTCAGAAATGACTAAATTCAGTTTTAAGCAGGTTTGGTGAAGAGATTACGCATTCAAAATCAGAATTCAAATTCAAAGCTCTAAGAGAGTAAATGGATGTTTTGAGCAAGGGCATACAAAAAAACTGACCATCCCAACTTTGTACATTTCTAGGTTTGTCCTCCCCACTTTTGGAAAGCTAATCATAATTTCTAAGTTTAATTTTGCTTGACAGTATAAGGAGTCGCAAAAAAAACTTCATAATCTTCCCAAGACACTGCTTCTGAAGCTCTTACTGGTAGCATTGGTGCGGACATAGATGATTTCGCTCTTTGCTCCGTGGACTTGGTGTTCATCAGAAGCGGAGAGCTGGGTTTTGACCATGATGGCGTACTGTGTCCACGGCTTCAGAGGGAGGATGAGGTACCCGGGCTCCTGCTGTTCCTTTCCATCTGTGGCACGAGGCGGAGGGTCTACATCTGCTATGACCCAGCTGTTAGAGCCACATGCGTCCTGACCATCAAACTCAGTCACGTTCTTATATGGCCTAGAGGAGCAGAGAGAAATGTCAACAAATCCTTACACAGAAATCATCACTTTATTGCAATGTACTCAAACTACAAACTAAGAACAGCAATAAAAAGGACCTTAGAGTCAGGGTAGATGATGTTTTGAATACGGTGAAAATGAAAACTAAGTGGAAGTAGTCCATTTAACTTGGAATGGACCATTAAGTTGGCAAAACACAAAATATAGACTTCACTTAAAAGTTTCCAGTGGGCAAAACGCTCTGGATTTTGGACAGTACTTCTATCCCTCACAGCCTCATTCAAAACACAGTAAACAAAAGGTCTAGATTGATTAAAGGGGTCATATGATGCGATTTCAAGTTTTCCGTTCTCTTTGGAGTGTTACAAGCTCTTGGTGCATAAAGAAGATCTGTAAAGTTGCAAAGACTAAAGTCTCAAATCCAAAGAGATATTATTTATAAAAGTTAAGATTCAACCACGCCTACCTAAAACGGCTCGTTCTAACACGCCCCCACATATCTAAGTCACTATGTGGAAATATTAGCATAATGCCGCCCAAATGTGCACGCAAAGAAAGAAGGCGTGGTTTCAGGAACAGCAGTCGTGTTGATGCAGCCATGTCAGGGAGATGGTGTGTGTTTCAGTGCGAAAGCAAAAGCACTTTATTTGGCATTCCGGAAGTAGATGCAATTAGGAATCATTGGTTAAGATTTATTTACAACAGAACAGCACAACCCAGATGTTCGAATTTGTGCAACGCATTTTATGGACGACAGTTTTTTGAACATTAAAGCATGTCAACATATTCTGTTACACCAAATACACAAAATAATGATCTTTAAAATAGCATCATATGACCCCTTTAAGGTATAAAAAGTCAAGTCACTTACGCCTCTTTGTATAAAACCATGAATCCCAGGAGGTCTCGAAAATCTGGTGGCCAGAAAGGTTCCCATTTAATTATGATCTTGTCAGAAAGCGTGCGAATCTGTGTGAACTTCAAAACCTGGCTCTCACCTAATGAAATAGGAACAAAAATGCATTCAGATTTATTCAGAAAGAGCACGAGCATAACTGAAATGCAACGCTATGTTCTCCTCACATGAAGCCTGATCTCCATTGGTCTTTGAGACAATGTCATTCTTTGCTTGCCGGTTCTTAGTGCCTGTCACCCCCTCCATCTTCCGGATCTCTGACATGCAGAGTTTTGAATTATGATGGAAAAACATGCGACCCTGCTTGATGGTCAGGTTGTGTTTGGTCCAGTCCCACAGCTGACGCAGGTTCTGGTTATCGAGGGCATAGAAGGAATAATTCCTGATGGGAAAGAATACAGCACACGAGTGAGGACAAGGGAAGAGGAGGAAATATATAGATGACATGGGATTATTAGGTTTGACAAATCCTATGACAAGACTCATACCCGACTTCCTGTGTCTCTCCATGGATGATTCGGAGCTTGCGAAGGAAAGATAGAGAGACTAGGGCGTATGAGTGTCGTACTGTCAGGTAGCCGGTGATCTCCTCCAGCTGTCCCAAGTTAGCTTCCAGCTCTGCGGCTATGTTATCTAACAGGGAGGGATGGAGAGCAAGTTTAAAATCTGAATTTTTGAAAACCTGCACTCTGTTGAATGTACATACGATTGTATGTGTTTCTGTGATTGATTACATAAGAAATAACTAATGGCGAACCATTGAATTATTGGAAGTGAATGCACACCCAAGGTGCAAAATGTATGATATAATTAATTATTATATTAATATTATTATACACCTGAATGACTTACAAATTAATAATTATAATATTGTAATAATTATAATATTATTATTATTATTATTGTGTATATATATATATATATATATATATATATATGGATGTTATATGGCGTGAGGACACGCCTTCCGGAGGGGGGCGTTATGTCAGACTCTGTTCCGTGTTTTGTGGTTGTTTTCCTCATGTGCCTTCCTTTCCCATGTTTAATTTGTCCCAGGTGTTTCCCATGATGTTTCATTGCTCCCAGGTGTGTCTCGTCATCCCCTCCTCCTGTGTGTATAAATAGTGTTCCCTGTGTGTGCTCCGGCGACCGGTATTGTTTGTGTCTACAGTGCTGCGTGTGATTCCCCGTGAAGATGAATAAATTCCTTGGTTTCTGTACTCTTGGTCTCCTCGTTCCTTGCTCCGTGTTCCCGCACCGTAGCAGATCGTGACAGTTTCTTGGCAACTCAAAGTTTCAGCTCACTCCACAGATTTTCTATAGAATTAAGGTCTGGGGACTGGCTAGGCCACTCCATGACCTTAATGTGCTTCTTTTTGAACCACTCCTTTGTTGCCTTGGCGGTATTTTGGGTCATTGTCATGCTGGAAGACCCATCATCCATGACCCATCTTCAGTGTTCTGGCTGAGAGAAGGAGGTTCTCATCCAGAATTTTACGGTGCATGGCCCCGTCCATCGGTCCTTCAATGCGGTGAAGTCATCCTGTACCCATAGCAGAGAAACAGCCCCAAAGCATAATGTTTCCACCTCCATGCTTGACTGTAGGGATGGTGTTCTTGGGGTCATAGTCAGCATTTCTCTCCCTCCAAACACAGCAAGTCGAGTTGATGCCAAAGAGTTCAATTTTGTTCTCATGTGACAACAGCACTTTCTCCCAAGCCTTCTCTGAATCATTTAGATGTTCAGCCGGGCCTGTACATGTGCCTTCTTGAGCAGGGGGACCTTGCAGGCACGGCATGATTTCAACTCATTGCAACGTAGTGTGTTACCAATGGTTTGCTTGGCGACTGTTGTCCCAACTGACTTAAGATCATTAACAAGCTCCTCCTGTGTAGTTCGGGGCCGATCCCTCACCTTTATCATGACCATCCTTTCCTCATAAGGCGAGATCTTGCATGGAGCACCAGACAGAGGGCGATTGATGGTTATTTTGTATTTCTTCCATTTCCGAATATTCACACCAACATGCGATATTCGATATGCGATACGATATTGCTTAAAGTGTGTAAAATCAATTTCAATTATATTTTAAAATATTTTAAAATGTTTTGTTTCACATTCTTTCTTGGAAAAGAAATAATCACTGCACCTACTTTAAGTACTTCTTCATATACCACAGCAAAAACTATAGTCTGAGAAAGATCAAACATGATTAAAGGCAAGTGAACAGTCAGTAAAAAAAGAACAAATACACAATTTACAAGCATATATAAAATAAACAGTAGTATCCAGATACAGAAATTGAATAATCCCGATTTCTTTCTCAGCTGTTTACATTAATTTAAAACATAACCGACTGAGTTTACGAGAATGATCGGCGAGACGGGTACTACTGACAATTCTGTGTATGTGTCTGTTCAAACATGAGGAGATGCAAAAGACGAATCAACTCGGTGTTCGCGCGCCGTCTGAAACGTGTCCCTCTGTGTGTGCGCGCGCGCTTTGCACGTGTGCGGCAAAACGGAAGATACGCTGCGCGAGATGCGGCTTGTGCACACGCTTCAGGTGTGAGTCAGGCAGCAAGACGAGATGGCAAAGAGTTGTTTTCCATCAAACTAAAACTTTGACCTTTTGCAACATTTTGATTTAAGTAGCCTATTATTAAAATGATTCAGATATCGCACGCCCTTGCGATATGCATATTGCGATACTCTAGAATAATTGACAGATTAATAATTAAATATCAATGAAAACAGAAAATGTTGTGTATGTGTATGAGAGTGTATGTGTGTATTTATACGAGCAATAGTGTCAATAGTATGAGCAATGGTTGCCACAGACAAAAGCCAATTATATAGTTTAGTCGTCATTATACAAAAACATTTGCAGAATGCTGATTAACCAATCAGAACCATGAATTCCAGAGCGCTAAAGACGTCCTATGCTTGCACAAAGAGAATTTGTATTAAAGAGTTTGTTTGTTCTTACTCCCTCCGCGGATGTTGATGACCAAACTGCCGTTGATCACAGTGCATCCTCTCAGAGCCTGCGCAGCAGTGACTGAGTCCACTGTCTTCAGCCCCATGCACACTTTGGGACAGAGGCCAGCGCATGGGGTGCAGTTCAACCTGCAGAACACAGAGTCACATGTACACAAAGCCACACAACAAACAAAATTCATTCATCCACAAGTGGTGTGAACAACACGGAAACAAAGAAATGCAGATATGATGGGAGTTTCTATTCTCGTTGACATTTAAGCAAATTTGCGGTATTACGACAATAACAGATTGTTTGTGTCAAGGACGTGGATCCTGTTGCGCAAAATGTTAGCGCTGGGAGCGGGAGCACGGGTGACCTTGCAGGGCAGGCCGAGGGTGCAATCAAGGATGAATGAGACGTCCTCTCAGACGTGCCAGAGGCACAACTTAATCACCGATTGTTTTTATATATACGTCAGGCCTGACTGAAGAACTGTTTGTCTTCTGTGCAGAATGCTTTCCGTGCCACTATTTCCTGTGAAACTACACTACGTATATTTGTACAACAACCGCAATAAAATGTGAATCCACAAGCAAAACAAAGGATATGGAGGCGTGGTTTCCATGCCAAAAGTCTTAATTATAATAGTGTCACAGCATGATACCAGATGTGAAGCCGTGCCACGAATGTGCACAAACCACCTATCGGGTAAAGCACAAGTATATTCCTTGAATGGGTCATCACTGTGTTTTGCGAATTGATACTCTTTTATGGTACCTGCCAAAAAGGACAGAATGTGTTGCGGTTTATCCAGCTAATCTGAAGGGAAGCTGGAGCGTGGGTGAAATCTGTATTGCAGACACATCAAGTAGCCTATTATTAAAATGATTCAGATATCGCACGCCCTTGCGATATGCATATTGCGATACTCTAGAATAATTGACAGATTAATAATTAAATATCAATGAAAACAGAAAATGTTGTGTATATGTATGAGAGTGTATGTGTGTATTTATACGAGCAATAGTGTCAATAGTATGAGCAATGGTTGCCACAGACAAAAGCCAATTATATAGTTTAGTCGTCATTATACAAAAACATTTGCAGAATGCTGATTAACCAATCAGAACCATGAATTCCAGAGCGCTAAAGACGTCCTTCTATGCTTGCACAAAGAGAAATTGTATTAAAGAGTTTGTTTACTTGTTCACATCAGAGTCCAGTATGCCATGTCTCCCTGCGGCAGGGATGCAACTCAAGAGTCATTTATCTGTCAGTGGCCAGACGGCGCTCCCTGTCTATGCAGCTGACAGACAGAGACAAGTTGATGAGACCAGGATGTCGAAACTCCTGATATCTCAATGGAGGCCGGCTAGCATGCTGAGACTATAACCGAGGGCGGCAGCATGGGGCGAGAGGCCTGACCACTGCACTGTGTCTGTCCAGCCTCTTTGATTTGTGTGTCTGCTGTCTGAATTCCCACAGTGCACCCACACTGCCCAGTCCAGGGGTCATACTGGCACAGGGGCAGCAAGAGTATCATGAGAAAGAGGGAAAGAAAAAGCGTAACCGCGTAAATAAAGCGTAAATCAGCTTTCTGTTGATTGACAGTATGACTCACCATTTTGTGTTGTTGCATTTTGGATAAAAACAGCTCAGACATTACACATTTTTAAGTTCCTCAGTAGAATAAACTATTAGATGGTTTGAAGTGGCTTGAGGGTGAGTTAAAAATTATCAAATTTTAATTTCTGTGTAAGAAAAAAAAAAGTTTTAGCTCAAAGGTGCAAACAAAATAAATCATGGAAGATTCCTACTCACGCTATGGACAAAAATAATCAAACTAACATTTTTTGCAAGCAAATGCAATCACTATTTTTACAGGAAATGTTTCACCAGTGCCCGATATTGTTTTGGAGGGCTCTTAAACCATAAAATGGACATTTCATTCAACTTTTGAACACACTACCATTCAAAAGTTAAAGGGATAGTTCACCCAAAAATGAAAATTACCCCATGATTTACTCACCCTTAAGCCATCCTAGGTATATATGACTTTCTTCTTTCAGATGAATACAACCGGAGTTAGATAAAAAAAATGTCCTGGCTCTTCCAAGATTTATAATGGCAGTGAATGGTCGTCGAGATTTTGAAGCAAAATAAAGTGCATCCATCCATCATAAAAAGTGCTCCACATTGCTCCAGGGGGTTAATAAAAGCCTCCTGAAGTGAATCGATGCATTTGTCTAAGAAAAATATCCATATTTAAAATAAACCGTAATCTCTAGCTTCCGCTAATTGTTGTACATGCGTTCCGAGAGAGTTCCAAACCTCCCAGCACTATAAGAAATATTTCTTGAGCATCAACTCAGCATATTAGAATAATTTCTGAAGGAAAATGTGACATTGAAGACTGGAGTAATGATGCTGAAAATTCAGCTTTGCCATCCCAGGAATAAATTACATTTCAAAATACATTGAACAGAAAACAGTTATTTTAAATTGTAATAACTGTAATAAAATTGTAATTAAAATGTAATAAGAAGTTTTCTCATTTTGATCAAATAAATGCAGCCCTGGTAAGCACGAAAGACTTTTAAAAAATGTAAAAATCATATCCCATAATGTCTGAACAGCACTACATTTTTTCCTGTCTGCTGCTCTTCATATCAAACTCTGGATAGTTGCTAAAACGCGTTTCCCATTTAAACAAAGAGAATGGACCAAAGAGACTAAAAATCATTTTGAGAATGTGACAAAAAACATTTATGTGAACAATCGTCCATCCTTCTGCATACAGAAACACATGTGTGTATAGAAATAGCGTGAGAGGGAATAAAGCTATGAGACATTGGTTACCCTATATTTCCACTACAAACAAACAAATACAAAACTTTGTTCTGAAAAGCTCTGTAAAACAGAGGTTAGTGGTCTGTTGTAGTCGTCCTATTCCTGCTCAGACCTTCTTTAAATGGGCACAAACAGCACTGCCAAGCCTCACACTAGGTCAGCGGCAGGCAGCGCTGCTTTAAAACTCACACACCTCCTCTCATTAACATACAACGTTCGCTTTCTGACACACTCTCTCACTCGCTCTGTCCCAAATTATCCTTTGTGCACTCAGACAGTCGATTGAGCTCAGCACAGCCCAGATCGCTCTAAGCCATCTTTGCAGTTCAGTACTTTTCTTCACTTCTTGTTCCTGTTCCATGAATGAGCCAAACAGGAAGGATGCTGAAAAAATGACTTAAACCGGCCTAAGCTGTTCTGCTGGTCTTAGCAGGTCTCTCAGCCTGGTCAGACTTGTCTGGCCTGCTGGTTTTAGGGATTTTTAACATTTTTCAGACTAGGAGACTAGCTAGACCAGTTTAAACCAGCTATACCACCAACCCAGTTTTTTTTTTAGCAGCAATGGACAGCTTACCAGTTCATATAAACAACATTGAGTCCTTTGGTTTGCATATGAAAAGCATAAAAATCATGTTTCTCATGTAAATACAAGAGGAAAAGTCAAGTGGCTAGTCCATCTATTCCATTTTCAAGTCTGAAGTCTAAATGAGGCATAAAGTGGTCCAGTGACCCAGACAACCTCACTCTTGACAGGTCACATTTCATACACGAAAGATTGAGCTTTTATGGGTCCTGACGCACATGTGTAGCATGTGAAGTACCCTTTAAAACACTTGGGGACATGTGCACTAGTATTTATGCATGTACACTGAGTAGAGAGCGTACAAGTAGCGGGTTACTTACGTAGTGGAGTTCACAATGGTGTACCCAGAAGGGCACTCTGGGATGCAGGCACTGTTGTGGATGACGTATTCGTGGCAGTCACCTTTGCTCTGCTTACACTTGTTGTGAAGTTCCTGGCAAAAGCTGAAGCTGATGCAGCGCCAGCCCTTAAAGGTGTAGAAACCAGCTGGGCACTTGTCAACGCAGACGTTATTGTGCATGTAGTTGCGGCAGGCCACACATTTGTTTGACGAGTTGGGCTCCAAGCAGCCGCCCAGACACTGGTCGTGGCAGCACTGGTTGTCTTTAGTGCAGGCGCGGTGCTTGCATGAGGATGGGCACACTGTGGAGAGACAGAGAGAGGGAGGTTATATTCAAAGACATTTTTGTTAGGAAACAAAGAAATGATTTTTAGGGAAAGAACAGATGCTTCTCATCCACAGTGACTTCTATTCATATAGAGGGGGGGTGTGGCTTATTGCCAAAAACAGGATACCACAATTGACCATTCATTTCTATAGGGAAAATCAAAAGAAATATATATATACACACACATACATACATACATACATACATACATACAAGTGCAAAAAAACTGTATAAAAAAAAATGTGTATTCTTGTGGCAAATTAATAAATGATGCTAAAGAAAGACTGCTTTAAATGAAATCTCATGGGAAATATAGATCAGCAATAATAATAATAACAATAATAAATGATTTTGATAAAATAACACCAGACCACAATACACACTGATCAGGTATTTTATTTAATTTCACTTCCTTTTTTCAGAAATGTACTCAATGCAAAATATGCAAAGAAAAAAAAGTTACTGCAAGCATACACATTTAAATGTGTAATTCAGCAGGCTCAAGCAATATTCCTATTTTACAACATAATATTGGACAGCATCTGTGGTTTGTTTTTGATTACTACATAAAATAATGTCGATGTCAGTTTGTATAAAGAACAGAAAACATATTTACATGGAACTCTTGCAGGCAAAGTACAGATTCTTTAAAAGCCAAAACTTCAAACTATGTCAAACTATATATATATATATATAATCTCTGGTGAAACTGATTGCAGGGATATAACTAAAGACAGGACAAACTAACAAAAACATAAAAACAACTGCGGAGCACGCCACGGAGGCAGCCATCACTGTCGGCGCCATCAGTGCAACCATCTTTTCCATGTCTCTTCATGCTAACACGCGTAAATGTGTAAAGCCGAAGTGTCATTGTTTTTTACTCTTATTTCAGCTTATTTTGCAGAATGAAGAAGGTAGATTGTAGGTATTTTTCCAAAAAGTGTAAATACTGTGGCATTAGCCTTCATGCTTTCAATGTGGAACTAGCCACAGCTAGATAAGGGTTTCTTCTCAAACCTTATAAACAGTAACAAACAACACTCGCACTCTTTTTGCTACTGTTGAGAGACTGACAACTCCGGGTGTTATATTAGATAGCAATTTGTCTTTTGAAAATCATATTTCCCATGTTACAAAAACAGCATTCTTCCATGTTAGAAACATTGCCAAGTTACGAAATATGTTACCTGTTTCTGATGCAGAAAAGCTAGTTCGTGCATTCATGACCTCTAGACTGGACTATTGTAATGCACTGCTAGGTGCTTGTCCTACATCTTCAATAAACAAGCTACATTGATATCAAAATTTTGGAAGAAATAGTACAGCACCTTAAATCGTCAACCTGCTGTCTTGACACACTTCCCACATATTTTTTCAAAAGGGTGCTTAACTGTTTGGAGGCAGATCTCTTAGAACGCCTCACTTCTTTCTGGGACGTTTCCAAACTCCCTGAAATCTGCAGTTGTTAAGCCCCTTCTGAAAAAGAGCAATCTTGATAACACCATTTTGAGCAATTATAGACCAATATCAAATCTTCCTTTTATAGGCAAGATTATTGAAAAGGTAGTTTTTAATCAGCTGAACAAATACTTAAACTCAAATGGATACCTGGACAATTTTCAATCTGGTTTCCGACCGCATCACAGCACAGAGACAGCACTCATTAAGATAATAAATTATATTTGCTTAAATTCTGATTCTGGAAGAATATCAGTGCTGGTACTACTAGATCTACATGCTGCGTTTGACA